TTTGGGTATTTCTGACACGCATAATTAATACTGAGGGAACCTTTTCAAACTTCAGAGTCTCTTTTAACTTAATCAAGTGAGAGATATAAATAAGGTCAAACCAAAATTGCACTCATCCGTTTTATTTTGCAACAGTTCAGGACCTGATTAAATATCGGATCAGTAATTTTCCGTAGATTACAATTAAAATGCAGACTTTATGAAAGTCAAAATTATGACCACTAGGCAGGCCTCAAACTTAATTAAGATAAACATTGTCAAATTTAGTTCAATTGAGCTTGTCTTATAAACCAGTATAACCGATCCCTGCTAAGTTAATCATCATTTGTGGTCGACTCAAAAATCGCAGCCAATCAGATTTGATTTTGACGACGCAGTTTGATTTTGACTCATTCTTGCGCACCCCTTTCGTAGAGTTTTGAAAACTTTATTATTCATAACTTTAGTTACTATCTAAAAGTTTCTACTTAACACATTTCAACTTGATTCTGAAAAACATTCAGCTTTTTATTTGTGTAATAAACTCGAATCATGCCCAGTTCAGCGCTTCCCACTTTTCGAAACTTGCCTCTCAATCTCCCCAAAAGTAGGTCTGAGGTCATGACCCTTTGGGCTAATTTGGGTGCCCATGACGCCGTCTGTTTTGACGTGGACTCCACCGTGGTCCAGGGAGAATTCATAGATGAGCTGGCCGATTATTTGGGAGTTGGGAATCGAGTGCAACAGGTGTAAGTAGAATATCAATCCGGTTGTTTCCATTAGACGGCGATATCTTTTTATTTAATTCGCAGATCTAAGGTTTTCCATGGTTGGAGAGGAGATCTTTAAGAGAAATAACTTGCTTTCAGGCTGAAAAAATAGCTTTACTAAGGTCTGATTCAAGCTTTGAAATCAAACTTTGTCAGAAAAATTATCTTAAAAGTCTTGATAGTCTGAACATTAAACGATGACTTTGGCCCGGACCCGCTGTTACGCAGCGCAATACTTCATTTGGTTTTCTGCTTAGAACTAAGAATGCCATGGGAGGCAACATGAACTTCAGATCAGCTCTGCGAGAAAGACTCAACATCATGAAGCCTGACCTAAAATCTGTAAGAAAAACTAACGAATGAACAAGGCTTGTTTTTATTAAGACTTTTAGATTCAACATGATATCAACCTTTCAGGTGGAAAATTTCAAGCTGAACAATGATTTGATACTGACAACTGGAATAGAGTAAGTAATCCGTTAGCATATGGTCCCCACTTAGTACTATTTAAGATATTCATTTTTGGCTGACTGACCCTAAAAGTTTTCTAAAGGCGCCTTCGGCGCCAGAATGTACTAATTTTGAGGTGTTAGCGCGCGCCGAAAAAGCGCGATTTTTTGTTCAAAATTTTCCAAAAAGTGCCTAAAAATGCCTTTTTTCGGCCCGTTTTTTCAACAGATTGCCTGCGGCGCAGAAAATTTGACTGAAACAGGGTCTTTAGAATGCTTTGGGAGAGCTCGGAAAATCAATTTGGTCGACCTAAAAAAATGTAGACAAAGTTTTCAAAATATTTTTTTGAAAATCCGCCCCCCCCCCCTCGAGAAAATCCTAGATCCGCCCTTGGCGCAAACGGATAGATATATATCTTATGGTTTCTTATTAAATGATGCTTCATATGCAAACAACCAAGCATATGCAATGAACTTTTTCTAGGGAACTTGTGAAGGACCTCCAACGTCGAAAAGTTGAAGTCTACTTAGTCTCCGGTGGTTTCCAGTCATTAATTTTACCTCTGGCCAAACAAATAAACATTCCCGAATCCAATGTTTTCGCGAATAAACTTCTCTTCAACTCGGCGGGCGACTACGCTGGCTTCGACGAAACAGAGCCGACTTCGATGTCGGGTGGGAAAGCACTGGCAGTCTCGGCGATCAAAGAGAGGGGTGAACATAGACATGTGATTATGGTGGGCGACGGAGCCACCGATGCAGAGGCTTGTCCGCCAGCGGTTAGTAATGGAGTTCAAAATGTCCAAAAAGAAAGTAGAAGTTAACATATACTTGATGGAGTAACACTTGATGCATTAACATATTTTTTACGGTCAACACGAATTTAAGTCAACATTTTTGACTTAATTGACGTCCAATGCAGTTTTTGACCAAATTCAACTCGTAAACATCACTCGTCAACATAAAAATGCCTTCAATCAGCCTTCAACTTTAAGCTGCAGCTTTAAAAAAAACTTGTAACCACCAAATTTATTTTCTGTTTCGACTTTTGAAAAATCCATCCCGCAAAACACAAAGAAAAACCGTTAATGTACCCTTTTATCTACCACCAATTTCTCACTGCAGTGATGAAAAAACACCCACTGAAGTACTATTTTGCAAATTGAGGTTGTAAAAGTATTATGGTTTGTTTATTTAACCTCTGATCTTAACTTACCATCGACCTTTAAGTTGTTAATTTATATACCTGCCAAAAGCGCAACGGCTTTTGGTAGACTCTGAATTGGACACTATCTTTTATGATACGTAACAAATCAATCGCAACCAATTCAATCTTTTAAACCTCTCTTAACTTAGATAGAATCCCCGTCTTTTATTTAGTCTTAAATAAAAGCCTACAATTTTAGTAGGAATCTTAATCATCCACAGTCTTAATCTATTCTTAGTTTAAGTCACTCTTTTACAACACGAGTGGTATCCTAATTTTTTAACATGGCGCAGTCGGATGAATCAAATCTACGCGGACTAGAGTTTTTTTGGAACAACTCATCATACGAAAATCAACATGACTGGGAAAGGTGGGCGGAAAAATTCCAACTGACAATTATTGCGAAAGACTCCGTAGACATCGAAGATGTAATTAACCCACCGATAAGAGAAGAACTAATCTACCCTATGGCAGAACCACTGGACCCATCCGAGGATCAGACCCGTCGGGCCGAAAAAGAGGAACGTCATAGAGTAGCAGTACAAAATTACAACGAAGAATTAAAAAGGAGAAGGGCGGAAGATAACGCAAAATTCAACGGACTTCAAATAGGAGATATTGACAAGAAGCTCAAATCACAGCTATACCTAGCACTCGGGAAAGAAGGACAGAAATGCTTTTCTCATAAAAATCCTGGAAAAAAAATTCTGGATATTAATTTCGCAGAATTTTGGGAACTATTAAAAACGACTTTCACGATCACTACAAACCTAACATACGAAAGATTTAAATTTTTTGGCCGAAGACAGAAAGAACATGAGTCCTTAGAAAAATTCCATGAAATTCTTTCAGAACTAGCAAAAAATTGTAAACTGGGGGAACTCGAGTCAGAACTAGTAAGAGACATTTTCATAACCAACATGAGAAATGTCGAGATCCAAAAGAAACTATGCATTGAATACTTGACCCCAGAAAACGTACTATCTTACGTATTAGTTCACGAAAAAGGTACTAAAATTCATCAACAGTATCTAAAATTCCCAACTTACAACCCAGGACCAAGATCACAATACGTGAAGAACGAATCAACATTAAACATAGTCGAAAATAACAAGTGCCGTAATTGCGGTCAGCAATTCAAAAAAGGACACCTATCCACATGCCCGGCTAGAGATAGAAACTGCAATACGTGCGGACGGAAAGGACATTTTGCTAAACACTGTAGGAGTTCAGCAAAAACTCAAACTAACATCGTCGATCAGAATCGGGTACCCCAAGAAAACGAAAATATCCGGGCCAACCCGCAGGAAAATCCCGAATTTGAGGTTAACCTAGACGACTTCTTAGTTCTATCCATCGACACAGATAACCAAATAAATGCCGTAGAAGACAAAATAGAGCGCGGAGTGAGAACAGTATTCAATCACGAAGGATTAGAATTGAAAAAGACACTAAAAGTAGCTCTGGGAAAATTCAACCCCTACTATACCGAGATCCAAATTGACTCTGCAAGCCCAGTTTCCTTCATGAAAAAAGACCTACTACACGAACTGAAGATACGAGACAGATTTGTAAAGCTAGAACCTGTGGACGAGATAACAAAGAAAGCATACCAGGGTTTCGGGAGTACGATCAATATTATTGGAAAAGTTCGAGTGAAAATCCAATCGAAAGGATGGGAGGCTAATGATCAAAAACTTTTTATCACAGAAGGGGCTGAAAGAAATCTACTAGGAAATGACATCCTACCAAATTTGGGTATTGTAGTATTTCAAAAACAACCTCCACCCAACGGGTCAAAGTCACGGGAAAACCAGAAAGTACCACCCATCGGGACAAATGTCAATCAAATAAAATTCGCATCCGACATCCAACAGGATCAAAACCAAGAGACATCATCCCAATGTGAGTTTAAACTATACATATCAAAGCACTTTCCAGACCTTATAAAAAGAACTGGTAGATCAAAAAACTACGTAGTTAATACTTATTTTAACGAGCCGATAAAACCGATACAGGTGAAAGGGAAACGTATCCCAATCCATCTTCTCCCCAAAGTCAAACTATGCATCGACCAATTATTAAGTGACGGACACATTGAAAAACTATCTAGATGCTCTGAAGATTGTTTTATTTCCCCTATCGTGATTACAGCAAAAAGGGATGGATCAATAAAACTAGCGTTGAACTCAAAACTACTAAACAAACAAATATTTCGCAATAGATATCAAATGCCGAATCTATTCGAACTAATTGACAACGTTGCAGTCACTATTAGCGGCCACGATCAAAGAAACATCTGGTTTTCGTCGATAGATCTAAAATACGCCTACAGCCAAATTCCGCTTTCGAAAAAGGCAAGTAATCAGTGTAATTTTAACATTGTGGGGGGAGAAGTAACGGGTTCATACCGTTTTAAAACCGGATTCTATGGACTAGGCGATATGCCCAATGAATTTCAACGTATAATGGACCGTTTGACGGAAAAACTACCAAATAATCATTGTTATCTTGACGACATCCTAATCGCCACCGTAGGTAGCGAGGAAGAACATAAAAAGCTAGTCATTAATGTGTTAAAAACGCTAGATGACGAGGGACTAGCCATAAAATGGGAAAAATGCACGTTTTTAACTCATAACATAGAATGGTTGGGATTTAGAATCGACGCAAAAGGGACGACACCATTAATACATAAATCTGACGCAATCAGAAACCTAAAAGAACCAAACTGTATTAAAGACATCAGATCCTTAATGGGATCGATTAACCAATTTAATAAGTTCATACCAAACCTAGCGTCCCTATCAACACCCTTCAGAGAACTTATGCAAAAGAATAAACCATTTAAGTGGTCCACAGTACATACGGAAGCGTTTGAAAAAATCAAGAACGAAATTTGTAATACGGTGATGAACCACCATTTCGATGTAAAACTGAACACTCGGGTGAAATGCGACGCCTCACATTTAGGATTGGGCGCGTCAATCGAACAAGACCATTGGGGAAATTGGAAGACCGTAGCGTTCGCTAGCAGATTTTTGAATATCGCCGAATTAAAATACAGCACTAACGAACTCGAATTACTGGGATTAGTCTGGGCACTAGATCATTTCAAAAATTATCTACTGGGTAATCAATTCTCAATTTTAACAGATCACAAAGCCTTAATAGGAGCACTGAAAGACGATAAATACACTAAAACGGCCCAATCACGCCTCACCCGTTGGGCGGATAAACTATTACCGTTCGACTTTACCGTAGAACATTTACCCGGAAAAGATATGGGATTTGTCGATTATATATCCCGACACCCATCGGGTGAACCCGTACCAGTTTCTCTGGATGACGAGAAGTTCGTTATCGCTTCAGTAAACCAGATTAGTACACTCCTAGGCTTTGATCACCTTATGCCAAAAAATTCGTGGGCGCAAATAAGAAATCAATTTTCTCAACATTTCTTAGCACATGACGTCACTTCTTGCAATGCGATTAGCCAGTCAACAGATCATATGACCAGTCAAGAAATAGAACGTGATAAACGAATTGCTAATGCCGCTGAAACTTTCCAAGCGATATCTAACCATTCCAACATTTCAGTGTGTCAAAATTCTCACTCGCGTACAGAACTGTGTGACTCATCTTGCAAAACTAACGACTTTTTTTACGAATTTTAAAATCCTGAAAGAAATGGCAGAACAAATTGAATTTAACCAACAAAAAGAACTTACTACTAAAGAAAACACGGACGTTTTAACACCAAATACTAGTAACCCGTCGGACAAACCCGAGAATAGATCACCTAGCAAAAAGAAAACAGTTAACTTATTCCCTTTCTCTTGGCCGGAAATATTTGACTCTAAATTTATGTCCCTCTTATCGAAACAAGATCTAATTCTGAAAAAGATAATCAAGGCAATCGAGGAAGACCGAAAACAGGATATCCTACAACTGGGAAACTATTATAAGTCATATTTGAATAACTTACATGTCAGTGGAGGATGCCTCTATTTGGACAACCGTTTAGTAATCCCAGCATGCCTAAGATCGACTATGCTGAACAGACTACACGAAGCCCACCCCGGCCAGTTCGCAATGAAAAGCCTGGCAACGCAATACATCTGGTGGCCGAAAATTTACCGTGAAATCCAAGTCCACGGCGAAAATTGTATAGAGTGCGTGAAAGCAGGTAAAAATTTGAAACCTCTTATAAAACACAATACCCTAGGGGAACTCCCAATGGTCGAAGAACCAAACCAAGAAATGGAATTAGATTTCGCTGGTCCGTTACCTTTAGTATGGGGAACAAAAAAATACATATTGGTGTGTGTAGACAGATTTTCAAAATTCCCATCAGCTCAAATAACATCCAGTACATCGGCAAAATCTATTATAAACTTCCTTAGTAAATACATTGCTTTACACGGGATACCTAGAACAATTAGAACAGATCAAGGATCTGGTTTCATCTCCAAGGAAGTTAGAGAATTCTGCCACGATCACAACATAAAGGTGATATTTAGCCCAGTGGGTGATCATAGAGCTACGGGATTAGTGGAACGCCTAATCAGG